GCTTCTAGCCGCAATAATAATTTTTATTTTTTTTTACACGTATATACACGCCATACACATGAACCTGCATGCATTTGGTACAAGAAGCACATACAACCATTATATACACATCACAGAGATTTTCCATGCATCATTAGATTACTCCTGGTGTGGCCGATTGTTATTTCTGTAAGGATCTTCTATGACGAGGGAGTGACAGATCAAATCGTAACCAGTTCTGTTGAACCTAAAGAAGAATAGGGAAAAACAAATCGGAAATATGAATGCCAGCACGAAATTCTTCACCATTGAGCGGCCCAATGCTAATGGCAGGCCCAGATCAGTTCCAGGGCTCACCAGCACCACATCCTGCTCATTCGGACGTTCAACAGGAGTTATACTTCGGCACTGAACTACCCGCAAACCCATCATGTACTTGCCAGGAGTAGCTCCTCCGATCAGACCGTACACTCCGTGTTGAAGCCAGAAGGCCTGAAATTTCATTGCGAAAAAGTTAATAGTTTATCGCATTGACTTGTTTTTATAAAAAGACTGTTTAATCTTTTTAAAAGGTATTATTGGAACTTCTTTACCTCAAAGATACAAACTATCACGCGATGGATGACTTCCAAAATCAGAATTCCATAAGTCATCTCCAGAGCCATTTTATAATCAATACGTAAATTTGTTTGCAACAAATCTAAGTCTTCAATGTCTCTAAAATATTAGAAGAGATGTTAGAAATATTTTTAAAAAATTTTAAAAACAGAAATAATTTACAATTAGAAAAATGTAGCAATACACACACACCTACGCATATGTTCTTCTACTTACATAAAATCGAAGACGTCGATTGCGATGAAAGTTATGGAAAACTTTAAGAGAAATAGCATTGTTGAATCTATAAATTCTGCTGCAAACCTCTTCCAAATCGGGGGAATCCGATACTCATAACCTGAATGAATAAAAAGAAAGTCATAAATCAATAATATTTAATGTGCAACAATTTTCTAAAACTTATTCTAACCATCAGTTCCAGGAGGTTGAAAAGGTCCCGTGGGTTGTTCCTGAGGCCTTCTTTGCCTTACTGTCTCATTCTGTCTGTCTACGTTTCCAGTTATTATTCCTTGTGTATTCGGTGTTGGTATTTGATTCGGTTGGAACGGCATTGCCGAAGCTGAAAAATTCAATTCGTTTCTAACGCTGAAATTATGTCTCGACAATTTTATCTAAAACTGTTTTTTCTTATTATGTAACAAATTATGATATTTAATTTGTATAAAATTAAAAGTATCTTAATGATATTTATTAAATATACTCAATATATTAAAAAACGGATAATCAAAATTTTAATTTTATCGGTACAATTTATTTCTTATTACAATTTTTAATACTTAATATTTAATGAAATATTCCGAACCCAATATTTTTCTATATTTATATTATATTATACAGGATGTAACTAAAATAACATACATTTCGCAATATCTTTTTTTAGTTACCCAATGAGCAAAATGTCTAAAATTGTCTACATCGATTTTATCCGTTTATCCGGAAATTAATATCTCTATTAATTGCGGAAATTGCAAAATGATAGAGGACTTTTCAACTTAGGTTTTTATTAAGAATAGCACTGTATGATTAATGGGCGTTATTTCAATTATACCTTGTATATGTACTTATCTTTATATGTACATTTATCTTTATATTTTTGTGTAAGTAAAAGTTTCTGATGTCAAAATATAAACATTTGTTGACACCTTGAAGAATAAATATTTGCGTTTCTTTCGTACCAAATGTTGGATTCGTAACGGATTGCCCTGACATCATGTAATAGGGAAACATTGCTGCGACACTTTGCCAGGCGTATGCCTCCTGGAGCCATTCTTCCAACTTTTTGAAGTATCGCGATCTCTCCTCCGCTGGATTCGATTTACTTTCGGAATCCTGCCCCGGCGTATCGTCGTTTTTATCGTCTGCCATTTTGACTTCTCGCTTGGCTAAAAAAAATTAATCGGTTCGTCACTCAATAAAGTCGTGAAAGCTGTCAGTGTTGCTTATCACTCTAAAATTCTCCCCGTTTCTTTTAGTACAAGTAAGAAAACGGTGACAATTGTCAAGTAGCAGTTTTGTCACTTGGTCGATTAATTGTTTTACTAAGATCAATTAACAAACGCAAGAACACGTCGAAAGAAGATAAATAAATGCACTAATAATGTTTGTAATTATAAACAATTGTAAATTACGTTCGATACCTGTGTCGCAATCAAGCACTACGCTCGTATACGTGAACGTGCTAGCTAACGCTATTACTGACGTGTATGATATCAAATGGATATACAATGTAAAGTTTTTCACCGTCACGACAGCACAGTGAATTTTTGTCACGATAACTTTTCCCCCAGACTTCAATTGTGGAATCGTAGGGAGAACTCTAGGCTGATGTCTAGATACGCACTGAAGAATGCGAGAACATTATTGATAAAATCTTAAATTTAGAATATTTTCTTTTGAAAAATGAAAGATAAAAATAATGTTTCATCGTATATATAATACTTTCATTAATTATAAAATAATGTAAAATTTCTCCCCAAAATGTTTGAAGATTCTAGATTAAATGTTATCGACTGCTGATAAAAGTATACTAGTAACAAATTGATGAAACTTGTCTCTAAGAATATCAAAAAATATTTCAACAAAAAGGTTTGAAATATTCTTTGAAAAAATGTTTTCGTGATATTTTATTATTATTATACCTCTTGCACCAGTATATAACTTTTAAACTGGTTTAAAACGACCTCTAGTATTTAAGATTGATACTAGAAGTAAAAGACTGACTTGTCCAAAATTATATAATATTCGGAATTTTGTCCCAATTATTGTTTCATCATGGCTAACATTTAGCGTATAAATGCTGAGTGTTTCTCTCCCCTCTCAACTTTTTTTAATTACTTAATTAAGCACAAAATAAAATTTGTATAGTAATTTAAATCAAAAATTTATATTCACATTACATTATTCTTTAACTCGCATTAATTAATGAGTTAAATGTGAAAAAATAATGTTTAATTAAAATGTAATGGAAAAATTTAATGAAAAAAAGCACAAGATTTAGAGATTTGAATGATTTATTTAGGCTTTACCCACTTAACAGATAAAGAATCCAAGATAATTGGATTTTTTTAATTTAACTTGTATTTTTTACAACTTTCTATAACTTTTTCCTTTAAACGTATTCACTTATTTCAATTTAAATTCAACTACTTCAAACAGGAAATAAAACAATGTTCTGCTAGTGACTTTCTCTTCAACTAGCATTTTGAACACACTGAAATTATCTGTCCAAGATAACAGTAAAATACAGAAATCCAGTCGAACAAATAATAAAAAATGACCGGTCCTATTCAGATCCTTATCAATCTTTTATAATTCTTTTCGCCGGCGAAATATTCAAATTTCTTTTAAACTCGGGACAAATCGAAATTACCTGGCTGGAGTTGGAGCGAAAGCGTTGGGAGTAAATAGGGACTTTCCTCTGAATCGGAGCGAGCTCAGAATTCAGAAGGCACTGGTTTCTGGTTTCTGGTCGTGCGACGTGCTTGGACGTGCTCGTAGCTCCGGTTCAGTAATCACGGTGGGTCGCGGTGTGCGTTTCCGACTGATGAGCAGTCAGTCGGAGCACCAGCAGTCGTTCTCTTTGTGCGCGAGGCTCACCGCGAGATACGCGTATCTCACGACGGTGGTGGCCGTCGTCGTGCTGCACGCACGAGTGCTGGGGGTGAGTCGCCGGGGTGGTCGCGTGGGAGCGTCGCGCCGTCGCGACGCGTCGCGCCGCGGCGACAGTGACAGCTCCGGTCCGGTGGAGCCTCTCCTGAAGAGAGGGTGTGGGCTCGCAACGCGGACATTGCACAGCGGGACCTTAGGTTATTAGGTAAGGTCGAACAGGATAACCAGAGACGCGGCAAAGTCCTCTTAGACTTTCCTCGCTTCTATATATTCTACATACGAATCACGAAACCAACCGTTATTACTCATCGTCTCTCTCTCTCTCTCTCTCTCTCTCTCTCTCTCTCTCTCTCTCTCGCGATCCTCATCTCACACACACACACATACACACAATTTCTCATCTTCACAGAAACGGAATACGCTTCTTTTCGGCCGTGCCGTATTAACGCAAGCGTGTAATGAAGGTCCGAGTTCCGTCTGATATTTCACCAGGATATATATTTCGTTGCTCCGTCTAAAAGAATCTGAGAATTCTTTGGATTCTACGCGCGAGAAAAGAAAAGAGCACTGGATCGTTTCCGTTTCTCTTTTTCGAGTCACTTCAAACGGAACGTTTCCAGCCAGCCGGAATTCCGGAAATTCCAACTACTCCGAAAAACCACAGTTACCTACTTGCACGCACAGTGCGTATTGTGCTTTCTCGTAAACAAACTTAACCCTAGAACACTGTTCCTTCTTTCATACTTGTGTTTACAATCGTACGTCTCTAATACGTACACTGAGAAAAAATATTGTCAATTGTAATAAATATTTAATTGAATACTGCCAACTAAATATTTATTAAATATAAAGACATATTTATTTGATACAAGAAACATTAATTTGATTTAATCAATTTATCATTCTTTTTAATGAACAAATATTTATTTATGCTAAGTAAAGTTATGTTTAGTTGATAGATGTCTAAAAAAAAGTGAGAAAGGTGAGAAAGTCGAATTTTTGTTCGAATTAAATTTACTGTTTGGAAATATTTAAAAAGTCTGACTATTGAAAAATGTTTTTAAAGAAAATCATTTCTTTAAAATATCTGGATAAGCTTAATAGAAACGTAGGTAATACAATTCTGAAATACACTGAGAAAAAATGTAATAACTAAATTTTAGTAAATAATTGTTTGGATAGTAATGTTTATTTATGGAAAATAAATATTTGTTAAATGAAAATATATATATATATATATATAACAGTTAAATCAAATTAATGATTTTCGTATCAAATAAATATATTTGTATTCAGTAAATATTATTATATTTAACTGGCACTATTCAAATATTCAAAAATTTAGTACATTTTTCTCAGTGAGTGTAATCGCATAAAATATATTCGGGAAAAAAGTCAATTAAACATACACTAAAAATAATAAATGCCATATATTGTGCTCTGCAGGCTGTACGGTTGATTGATTTCTAATTTTTAAGCGATTGTGGGGAAACAATTTACTTAAATAAATCTTTATTGTAAACGAAAATTTCTACTAAAAATTTCTATTTAAATTGGTAGCAATTGTTCATGGCAAGTCGTGCATTGCACATTTAATTGATATGAACAAACTCATTATATAGAAAAATGAAAGAAATTCCATGATCTTTTCCGAGTGTACGTAGAAATGTTATAAACTTTACGATTTTATTCGTAAGTAAATAAATCTAGAAAATATGGAAAGAAAAGTATTAGAGGATTGCTATAAATTTTATTTGCGAAAAATTTTCATTCGTCGGAAATTTTCATTTGTTGGTTTGGAAACACCTCAGAAAAAGTGTGAAAAAGTGTTAGGAAGGAATTCTATCTATCATCATAACAAATCCCGCGAAGATTGATTATATCATTAATTATCGCTGAAGAGCCGGCTTTCTTTGCTTTTCGCACTTTTACCGTTGTGTTAATTATGTAACATTAATTATCTTAACTTAACGCTCGTAGTTTACGTTCTCTTTATAACAATTCACATCAGTAATAATAAATTAAATATTCAACTGCGGTATTTAACTGCGAGAATTTCGATCGAGTTATGCATAAATTCTTTTATTTTAATTTATATTTATCATTTAATTTAAGTCTTTCGTTTTGTTAATTATTTACATTAGTAACTTTCATTTGTTGATTCATCTTTAGGGAATTTTGGGAATTTTTAATTAAATAACAATACTTAATTATACAATATAACATCGTAAATTACTTTACATCTGATCACACAATTCTGTTATAAATTGTTATAAATTTGATTCTCGTTGCAATGTCATAATTATTGCAAAATAAATATGTAAACGCGTATATATTTTATTTGCGGCACGAATTTTTGCGATCCGGTATTATAGGTACAACATTCGGCCGAAAATATCATTTATAAAAGCCGTCGACGCGAGCCGATTATCGTTATCGATGCGAATATTCTCTTCCTCCGAGAGAGCATGATGATCGAGGGGAGTCCAGGATGTGTGTACGTTTACCCGGTTATCGGGCGAGACATCATCAATGTTGCATCCACAATCGTGTGGTTTCTGACCCGATGTATCGAAAATCGAACGTACACGGCCGACAGGCTCGTCTATCGCGTCAATCGATATTCCCGCTTTTCACCGTCCTTTTCCACGCGACGTTAATTGCGAAAAACACCGATAGAAGATGCATCAACGCATTTCTCTTCTCCAGAAGCCACGCGACTCGACCGCCAGTCGCTGTGCACGAAACGTAGACGCCCGTAAAAAGACCTGAGCTGACATTGACAAATACGTGATAAGCTTCCTTCTTTTTCGGAGAATCACAAAGAACGTAATAGATGCACTTCTGAGAATTTAACCTCTTGTCTTTCATCCTCTTGGATGTATCTTGAATGTATCTTTTTTCTTGTTTACCTCGATAAGGAACAATGTCTGATGTCAGATAAATGATAGATTGATAGAAATGATTGATCGAACATTATTATAAATCGTTAAATTTAACGTGCGTTAAATTTAACGTTATATATATTGAATATAAGGAATATCAAAGTAACTGTAAAATTATTTTTAAAGAAAAATACATGAAGGTTACGTCGTAGATCATTATCACGAGGTGATCATCATTACGTAAGCTATTATGTAAAAGTTTAGATCATTACTGCGTGCTACAAACGAAGTAATAAAATTATGAAATATTGTTTCATATCTCTTTCAATTAATCAAATTTTTATTTCTATAATTTTACGATACCTGCATTTTTTAATATGTTTTTCATTTTTATGTTTAACACTTATTATGCTTATACTTTACAAAGCGACAGAAAAGTTTGTGCGATAAGGTTTTGTGTGTTTATCAAATCATTGCAACAAGCTAATATTATTTGTCGTTTTCATGATGTCACAATGTGACATTGAAGACGGCGTTTTAATGTCAAAATAAATTAAATATGTCATTTTGACATTAAAACGACGATAAATAATCTCAATTTGCTACCTGTGTAATAAAATAATATTTAAAAAAATAAAGAAATCTGGAGTGTTAGTTACGTTTTATTAAATATTAAAGTATATACCCTGTACTAAAAAAAAATTTCATCGGTTCGTGAATTGATCTTCCTTTAAGAAGAACAATTTATCCGGAAATAATGCGTTCCCAAAGCAGCTTATAATTATTTTAAATGTTAATAATTTTTTATCTTTAATAAGATATAACTAACAGTACAGAATGTATTTTTTGTTAAAATTATTTGATAAACACAAAACTTTGTGATTAAACTTTTTTGTCACCCTGTATATTTCTCTGTCTTTAATCTATAAACTTTATACTTTATAAACTTCTAATTTATCACCAGTTCTGTAATTCTACATGAATATATTTATCGCGTAGATATCTTTTTCTTCTGAAGATTATCGTATCTCTTATATTTCTTTAATTAAAAGAGAGAGGATGCGATGGCATATTTGCAGTGGTGACGAAATGCATCTTGTATGCAAGGACCAAATATGAATACGCGCTTTTCTTTTCGTCGGCTTATTATCACGAGTGGCATCCTAGCGTCCTTGATGTTATCGATGATCGATAGGCGGATTGCCTATCGGAAGAGATTAAATGAAGCATTTAATGCAATTTGCACAATACGTAAACACGACGCGCGTCCAACCAACTACCTATCGATTTTATTCTATTATTCAATAAATGCATTTATTACACGCTATGAATGAGAGATGCAACAGTTTGTTGCGTCGTAAATTAGTCATTTCTTGTATCTACATTTCTTTGCCAAATTTAATTACGTAATTGCATCTTGGAAATATAAAAAATATTAATACTGTATGCCAACTGTATTTGCATCTTATTTACTTATATTAAATAGAAAAGTTATAACAATAACATTAACTATATCTGCAGTAAAATTAATTATTTGTTTAATTTACAATAATTTTAAAATTATTATACATCTATTAAATACGTAAACTTTAAAACCGAATAATTCATATTAATTATTCATATTATTCAACAAAACGATCTCGTGAAATTTTACTATTTCATTTGTCCATTGATGATGATGTTATACGGGATACAATTTACTCTTGTAGCACAATTTTTTCATCATTAAAAATTCTAACTGAAAGCATATACAGAAGAGAAAGGGGCGCGGGAGCGAAGTTTATGCGGTGACTGTCGGATCGATATTCGTATTCTACGAAGTCGCGAGAGCTTTAACTTAATCTGGGATAGTTTAATCACGCTGAATTATGTGTTAACTTCTCTCCTTAATTCTCTCCTGTCGGTGTACTTGCTCCTCAAGGCAACGTTTAAAAAAAAATTCAAGCCATTAAACACAAATCAAATCCCCTTAAGACTGGAGACAGCTTACTTGACGTCAAAGGTATCGGTAATTTTCTTTAATCATTAGATTGTGTTATTGAAAAACATTTACTTCGAAAATTTATTTCGAAACTCAATTTACGTTTATCGGTTCATGAAAAATAAAATTTAATGATTATTGAATTTAATTACTTAATTATACGTCAAATATGAGAGAGGCAAAAATTTAATTCAATTGTACAATTTCAAGCAGAGCTTTTCTGTTGGAGGATACTTTGAAGTTGTTATAAAAACGACTCAAGAAACAGCATTATGTGCTTACCTGCTAACCCTGACGCGAAATTTAATA